GCGCTTGTCGCTGTAGAGTCCTGGGAGAGCTTTAGCCTCCCCTCCCCCGGGGCTGTTAAGGCGACTCCCGCCTGGTCAGTGCCCCGGGGTGACGCGTCCTCAATTTCAGGATGGTTTGTGCGTCATAGGGTGGCCACGTGTCATGGTGACGTCATGACGCCTAGCTGTGGCATCACCACTGCCAAGCCCCCCTGTCCACCCCTCTGGCTGTCGGGGGTCCTCTTGTCTCAGGCCCAGCCCCTGGGGAGAAGCAGAGGGGATGCCGTGCTCCCCCTCCCCTTGCAGGGTGAACGGGGTGTGTCCCGGGGGGGCCTTCATTGCCCCTGTGGAGTGTGACCGGCACCAATACCGTACTGCAGGGACCTCCAAAGCATGAGCTGCTGCGACCAGACAGGAGGGTCCGGTGCCAACACCATTCTCTACTCTCCCACAGCAACACTTGTGTCACTGTCACACTGCATTTCCACCAAAAGCTGTCCTTCCGAGTGTGGGTGATTACACCAGGCACCAGCCCTGCTGAAGCGAGGGGCAGCGAAGGGGCAATGGAGTGTAGCTCTGTGATACGTTGTGTGTGCTTGCTGGAACTGTCGTTCCCATCACACACCGTGTCCCAGCAGAGCCGGCGCTCCCGGACGTTCTGCACGAGGCTCTAATGCTCCAACCCACGTGGCTGGTTGGTTGGGAGTTCATTATGGTGCAAGCGCAAAATCTAGTGGGCAGCATGGCCAATCTGTCCCTGTAGCTGTGACGGAGGAAGGGGTTGTCAACCCCCAATAGTCAGATGAGTCCTTTCTGTGCTGTCTTAGCAGAGGGGCTGCGATCAAGGCCTGCATGAGCTCTGGAGAGATAAATACCTCCCTCGCCCTCCAAGAAGCAGAGCGAGGCATGTTAAGAGGCATAACACAGGCAAGGCGGGCATCTGGCTTGGTCGCATGCCTGTTCTGTGGGTAAATGGACCACATCAGTCTTCAGGGACCATTTTTACCTACTGCTCACCAGCTGCTGATTTGTCCCCAGAGAGATCTGTATTTGCTTAGCTTCCTCCCCCTTCCTGTTGGCTCAGAGTTGGGATGGCAGGGGCTGTTAACTGAGGGTGAGGGACATTGGGAGGGCTGGTCAGGGAGAAGCTGCTGAGCTGAGATGCACTAAGTGGATTCCTCTCTGGAATCATCAGGTGCATTAAGGACCTACTCGCTTGCACACACCAGGGAAGCTGCTTGGCAATGAGCAGGCTATGAAGCCCCACCTTTTCCTGCCTCTCTCCACCAGCATCACCATCCTCTGAGAATGGGGGTGGAGACTGTATAAAGGGGTCCCTCAGCTCCAGCCTGCCCAGAGTAGCAGCAAGGCAGAGGAAGACTACCATCTGGATCCCAGGTTTAAAGGAGCAGCCCTCCCAAGTAGCTCTGGGAGCATCACCCATCACTCCACTGATCTCCCATCCCTGCCTTGGTCTCAGCATCCCGTCTCGACGGGGCTAGCAGGCAGCAGCCAATTCTTCCCACGCTGTGCCAAATGCCCACGCTCTCTTCCAGGATGAATTGTGTGGCCAACTTCTTCACCTATGAGACCACCAAGTCAGTGGTGGTGAAGAGCTGGACCATCGGTGTGATCAACCGTGCCGTGCAGCTGCTCATTGTCTCATACTTCATCGGGTAAGTGCAAGGAGCTCAGCACCCGCCTGGCCAGCTCCCTGACAACCTGTGACTGATCCCAGCCTGGCACAGGGTGAACCCCAGAAGATGAGAAGAGGTCCCCTCCAGCAGAGATGTGTCCAGCTGTGATCCCTGCTCCTGAAGGAGAGAGGGCAGGGGGAAGGGACAGGCAGACCCACCCTAACACAGAATCCTAACTGAGGACGCCTCCACAAGCACACACATGTAAATGGCAGGTAGAAGGGGTACTTGCTGGGCAGGGTGGAATATGATTGGCTCACCCCCCACCTGCAGTGAGTTCCCATCCTTCCCAACGTCCACCTTTCTCCAGCCTGGGAACAGCCAGACAGCTCCACACAGAGGAAGAGGGTGGGTTTAGCAACACCAGAGTCCCCAGAGCCATCCTGGGACTCAATGTTGACAAGCATATGTGAGCTCCCAAGGAGTGAGAGGCATTTAGGTGAACTGAGATAGTGTGGAGCTGAGCATCCAGAGCAGGAGGGTGAGATTCAGGATTGGAGGGGAGAGAAAAGATACAGGGATGATGACAAGCAGGAGCACAAGGCAGTGTAGATGAGGGGGGCTGGAAAGTGAACTCTAGGCAGACACAACCAGAAAGGAGGCTGAGACAGGTGCCTAGGGTGAAGGATTTACATCACACACAGCCCAGGGTTCCCTGGGACCTTCTTGGCATTGACATCACAGAGGGGGCTGCAAGGGCAGGACTGTGGGATTAAGTGTCCAGGCTCTCACTGCTCCAACCCAGAGTGCCAAGCACTGTCTCCCTCTAGCCACGGAGACCCAACTATCCCCTGGCTCCACCAGTGTGCTGAATCCACGTGCATGGTATGTTTGCACATAAATGCATGTGTGTGTAATGTATGTGTGTATGCATGTAGGAGGGTTGTAGGGAGAAACCATGGGTTCGGGGTGATTTACCTTGTCCTAATTCTGACAAACACCCCCCATCATCCCTTAAGGGGGAATGTGCAAACCCAGCCACTGTGTTCACCGGCATAGTGGCAGAGTCTGTCATGGGTGCCAGCGAGTATGCCTCAGAGTGAATGAGTGGTTGAAGTCTCTGCATGGATGTGTCCAGAGGCGATGGCTGTGGGTGGAAGGAGTGGTGAGAAGATCACACATGTATGAGATGGGGTGAGACACAGTGACTGTGAAAAGGGGTGCCTGTGTGTGTTCCTGCGCAAGTGTGAAAGGCATAGGTGGAGGGAGAAAAAATTATTTGGGGGTGCTGACCATGCATGCCACCCCCCATAAGTAAATCTGTGGGGGAAGGGGTGGGGAGAGGGCCGTGGGGAGCAGATCGAGGCCCCCACGGTGAGGGAGTAGGGCATAGGCAGGGGATGGGGCTGGGGTGAATGAGGCCCCAGTCAAGCCAGGTTGTGGGACAATCAGCCTGGGCAGCTCGTCCAGCGGAGCGGGGGGCTCCCGCCACTATGCGCACCCTGGCAGAGGTGGTTGCTGCTGTGCACTGGGCTTTGCTCCCTGCTGCCACTGCCTCAGAGCCACACAAAGCCACGTGCATCTTGCCACCAGGTGGGCAGGAGGTAGGGCACAGCCCAGCAGCGGCAGGCATGTGACATTGTGCCACTCCCAGGGCAGGTGCAGTGGGGTATAATGCACAAAGTGCAGTGGCAGCCACCTCCACCTCACACAGACAGGGGAGGAGCCACCCAGGCTTTAATTCTCCCACCACCTGGCACAGCCAGGGCCCCATTCACCCTGCCTCTGCCTGTGCCCCACTCCCTCACCACTGAGGCCTCGATCTGCACCCCCACACAGCCCTTTCTCCTTCACCAAATTGACTGGTACTTTCCTGCCATGCTGGGCAGTCAGTGATCCACAGGCCAAGCTGCGATTCTGGCTGCATGTGTGCCTCTTCCCACCCCTGCTACAGCCGACCAAAGCCCACGGCAGGGCTGCCTTGTAGCCCTACCCACTACCCTGTGTTTGACAGGGCTGAGCCCCGTTAGTGCCCATCTTCTGTCGCCTATGGTGAAAGGGGTAACCACATGGAGGAGGCGGAGGTGTTTTTATGAGTGTAGAAGTGACAACAGTATGGGTGTAAGTGTGTGTAGGTGCCTTTGCAAACCTCACGCGGGTGGATGGATGCATGTGAATCTTGGGGTGACTGTGACCCTGGGAGTAAAGGACTGAAACAGTGGTGGGTGTGACAATACATTTATGTGGGGGGGGATTGTTACTGTGCAAGAGGTGGAAAATGGGGTAGGGGAGTGAGGTGAGGAAAGGAAGACTTTGTGCATCTTAATGTGCTGGATGACAGCGTGATTGGTGGATTGACACTTGTATGTGTAAAAAAGAAGAGGCCATGGGGTGTATGTTAACATGAAGTGTGACAGTGTGGGTTACCAATTGATGTGTGAGTGCATGAGGGAGAGGGAGGAAGGAAGGGATGACAGGGTGTGTATATGGAAGAAGATGTTATAAGATAGGTGTTAAGTGACAGGTGACAGTTTGGGTTACGGGCTGGTGGGATGTGTGTATATATGAGGAAAGAGATGTGATCAGGTTTGTGTTAAAGTGAAGACTGACAATGCAGGTTAAGGGAGAATTGTGTGTGTGTGTGGAAAGAAGCGGTCACAGGAGACAGGAAGGAAGGAAGGGAGACGGTGTGAGGATTAGCACAAGGGGTGACAGTCCATGTACGAGTATAAGTGCGTGACTGTGTGGGAGAACCCCCAATTACATTTCTGGGTAGGTAGCAGGATATGGCTCCCCCTGCAACCCCCATTAATGCCTTGGCAGTGCCAAATGTGAGCTGTCTGATTTATGACAGCAGTCAGAGCTCCATTAGCAGCCAAATGGCCTGCGGGTGCCAGCTGGACGGCTTTCCCCATCCCTAGGGGGCATGTGGGGGAAGGCTGGGCATTAACTCCTGCTTTACTAAAGAGGCACTGTTCCCTTCCCTACATTTAGATCTGGTTGGGTCATAGGGTGGGGCCACAGAAGGGGTGTACTGGCAGACGGCACTGTCAGGAGACCTACCCCAGGGGAGGGAGGGGGTAGAGGTACCCATTCTTTAGCTTGGTGGAGCCTGAGAGCAGAGTTGTACAAACAGCTGTTTTGTTTTTTCACAGACAGTCCTGAAAAAAAATCTTTAAAACAAAACCCCAAAAAACTGTTTTGGGTCAACCCAAAATGAATTATATTTTTAGCAAACCTATTGGGCTACCTGCTTGCCATCCTACCCCATTGGGCTACCCCCTTGCCACCCCACTGCCCAAGTCTGAGGTCACATTGCACATTACAGTGATCTTTTCTAACCTCTTCTTTTAAAACACTGAAAGGATTTTTTTGTAAAACTGAAGGGAACTGCAAGATGAAATGTCACTGCAAATAGAAAAATCCATGTTTCCCCTCCAGAATGCCAGCACAGGCTACTTTGGGTGTGCTTCTGTCAGGGGGTTGTTGCTGCTTTGCAGAGGTTTTTGTTTGTTTGTTGCACATGCAGTCCTAGGACTTGCGACAAAATAGGTTCCTGAAAAATGGATCTTAAGTTGATACATTGTAACTCAGAACCAATTTTCTCATAAGAAACAATGTTATAAATGGGGGATTGGTTCCTGAACCAAGGGATACCCTATTTTCACTAAAAATACCCCAGAATTTTGTACTCGATCAATTATAAATGAGTAATATAGTTACATTAATGTATTTATATTGTAAATAGCAATCACATTAATTTGGAAGGATTTCTTTGAGGTGACTGCTGGACTTTTTGAAGGGCTCTTGGTTGGACTTTTTGAAGGGTTCTTGGCTGGAGTCTTCTCAGGAGTCTTGGCGTCTTGTCTGCTTTCTTAAAAGAAAGTGTCCAAGGAAGTTTGGACAGATGTTCTCCAGGGAGATGAGCAATGCAGCGAACTTGTTTGCTGGCATGGCATGGCATCGTTGTAAAGTTGAAACTGACATCATAAAGCTGAAATAGGGTGTCAATTTATAAACGTTGTAAATGCAAAACATAACTCAAAACATTGTAAAGTCAAGGACTGCCTGTACATTAAGATGAATTTGTGAAATGCCTTTTGCTAGTCAGGATAAAAGGGCCTTTGCTAAATTTCCCAGCTCCAGCTGTGAGCTCAGCAGAGCAGGTGACCTTTGGTAGGATGTGACCCCTAGCCAGCCCCATACCCTGGAGTGCATGTAGAGGGACCAAGGGACTCACAGGCCTCATGCTGGTCTTTTAACCTCCCCTGTTGCACCAATAAACTCTGGTTGGCTCAGACAGGAAGGAATATGCAGTGGGATAGGAGCATTCCACTCTTTGAAAGGAAACTTTATTAAACCAGATGTAAACACTAAACTCCAAACACTAAACTAACAGTAAGCTAAACAGTCTAGTAAGAGTTCTACTTTTTTGTATGTCTAGGAAGTGTTTAGGCAGTCATCTGTCAAGCAGGTGGGTCTGAGGCAGCAGCCAGTGGCTGGGGGTCCTGCGGTCACCTTTGATGGTATTCCTGTTCAGCTGGCAATTTCCCTTTGTTCTTAGTCTCAGGCAGATCAGGAATGTCAAATCTGGCACAAATTTCCTTGTTATATGCTTCTTACCCCTTTGTTACCAGGCAGACTTTTCTAGCTGCAAGGGGCCAGCTCATGGGGCAAGCTAGCAGGCTCTTCCAGAAATCCTGCCCATAACTATCACAGTGGCAGCTGCTGGCTGCTTGGGGAAATATGGCTCTAGTTATGCCGTAAGGAAGGGAAGAAATATGGGCTCCATTGGAAATCTGCCCTATGGGCTTTTGAGTCATATTTTAGAAATGGGACACAGTTCTTAAACCCCTTGGGCTCTAACCCACCTTACCCACTATGTCAGGGGTGGGCAAAATGTGGCCCGTGGGCCGGATGCAGCCTGCTAGGCCATTCTGTCTGACTCGTGGGGCCCCTAAAAATTTTAGGGAATTAATGTTTATCTGCCCCTGGCTGCCCGTCATGTATCCCTTGACTGCTTGCCAAAACTCAGTAAGCAGCCCTCCACCCAACATAATTGCCTGCCCCTGCACTAGGTCCATAGCTGGAGGAAAGAAAATAGGCATAGAAATAATTCCACTGGAGGGCACTAGGGGGAAGCATGCCATCAAAAAGGAGGGGCAGGCTCAGGCTTCAGAGCACTGACCCAGCTCAGCTCAACCATTCCTCTACAGGGAGAGGATAACATCTGCTGCTGCTTTGCAAAGGGAAATGACCTGTCGGTAGGTAGCAAAGCGCCTCCTCACCCTCTCCAGGCAGCACTGCTGATCACAGGCAGTCCAGAATCATTAGTCTGACTGTCCCAAAACTACGAGATGCCTGCAGAAGTCATGAGGGCTTTTTTATCCTAGAAGTTGATCTTGCCTTCTCCCTTGCTGCAGGGCAACCAGGGGACTGTTTTCGAGCTCTTTTTGCCACTATGAGGGCTAGAAGTTGATTAGAAAAAAAGAGCTCTTTTGTGTAGACTCAAGGTTGTTGAAGTGCAGGAAAAAAATCCATCCAGAAAAAACTGCTCCATGTAGATGTAACGTCTTATGAAATTAAAGCTCCACCTGCTGGAGTCATGTTAAGAACCCCCATACTCCCAAATATTGTGCAGCTTGTATTAAAGTTATGTTAGCTGTTTGCAAAGTATAGGCAACACCTATCTTCCCCACCCCAGATCTGCCCCTCCTCTGCCCCACTCCCCTTGATCTTTTGGGATTGCATCCCCCTCTCGCTGGTCCCTAGCCTGATGTGGCTGTCTTGCCCCTCTCTACCAACAGCTGGGTGTTCCTACATGAGAAGGCATACCAGGTGCGGGACACAGCTATCGAATCCTCTGTGGTGACAAAGGTCAAGGGCTTCGGCAAATATGCCAACCAGGTTATGGACGTGGTGGATTACGTCACACCTCCTCAGGTATTACGGCATGAGTGGGGATGGGTCAGAGCAGCTGGGGAATGGGACACCCAGCTAGAAAGAAGGATGCCACTTTTCCTGTTCTTGTGAGCTTGAAGTATATCTGGTGTGCATTACAGACACCCCCCCCCACAACACCTGCCCATTTTGCGAACAGAGGGAGACCCTGGCGCATGCCTACCTCAAGTGCAGATTGCAGACCCTCTTCCACCTCCTCCAGAACCTCCTGCTGAGGTTCTGGCTGCACTTCCACCTGCACCTTTTCTTTTACGCATTCCCTGGCCATGGCCCCACCAAGCCCCAGGACATCCTGGTCAGCTTCCTCCTGGATCTGGCCAAGCTGACCATCTATAAGACGAGGAAGGAGTTTCTGGCCAAGAGGAACCTGAGCAAGGGTGGAGCCATCTTCCTCTCACTCTTCTGGTCACGTCCCCAGGCAGGGTCTCTGGTTGACATCCACAAGCTCCTATGACTCACTCCAGGAGGTGGGCACTGACCTGTATGCTTTGCTCAGTGTCCCCTTCTGAATTCCTTGATTTGAACCTGTAACCCTCACTCCTGTTCCTTTTTTCTTTTGCATCTCAAACAATCAGTTGTTGCACCCTCAGTGGCCTCCCTTTTTAAGGGAAGCTTATAGCTATTTGTGGTGGGCCTAGGCCCACATTTATCAAGTGCACTCAACAGGCTTGTGAGCTTGGAGACCCCAGCCAAGACCAGGCCCCAGTTGTGCCTAGTGCTTATAACCCGGTGCTCGGCTCAGGGCGTGGCCACTCAGCCCTTGCCTGATCTGCCCTGTTAGTTCACTCTCCCGCCACATCTTGATGTTACACTGTTTAAAAGAAAGGGAGGTTGCCCCAGGGCTTCCCAAGCCTGGTCTTACTCTGGCTCCTAGGACAATTACATGTTTTGGGGCACTTGGCCCTAACCCAACACCAGACTGCTTCAGGTCTTTATATTCTTCTTGGGTCTCGGCCTTTCCTGGCCTCAGCCCCCTTTTTCTGTCAGTGGTACCTGTAGCCTAGGCCCACTGTACCAGACCTGACTTCTGGGTCCCAGCCCTCTCTGCCCTCACACTCTGGGTGCTATGACCCCAAACACTGCCCTGCTTTGGGCTCTGGGTTCTCTAGTCTTGCATTCTGGCCTGCTCTAGGCTCTGGGCTCTCTGGTCCCACACTCTACCCTGCTCTGGGCTTACTGCTCCTTCAGCACACCTTCAGCTTGCCCCCAGCAGGGTTCAAAGTGATCATGTGCCCCTAGGGTGCTAATAGAACCTCCAAAGTTTCAGACACATTTCTTGAATCACCAACTTTAGAAAATGATCCCTGAAAGTATATAGTCTTTTCTACCCCTAAGTCTGTACCTTGGGGCTTGGCTGGCCAGCAGGCCCTGGGGTTTGCTCCCCCTTCTCAGTAATGGGGCAGGGGCTCTGTTACAGGGTCCAACCTTTTCTTTGGAGTTACAGTCCTGTTGCCTTCACTGGTCCTTCTGTTCCTTGCTGTTCTGTGAAAACGAGTAGGCATTATTGTGTTGCTTTCCCTTGGCAGTGTTCTACCACAGAGTTATATGGCTGTGAACTCAGATGCTGTCAAATCAACCAGAGATTGTCTGCCTTCATCTGGTATAGGCACTGGAGATGGCCATGGTCAGTTACTACAGTAAACTGTCAACCTAGTAGGTAATAGCAGAAGCTCTCTATTGTCCACTTTATAGGCAGACATTCTTTTTCTATCATAGCTTATACTCGTTCAGGGGGTGCAGCTTGCAGCTGATATATGCTACTGGGTGTTCACTCCCACTCTGTGTGACAATACAGCACCTATGGCTGCGTTGGAGGCACCCCTTTGCAGTAAGAAGGGCTTTCCAAAAGTTGGGAGCATGGACTACTGGCTGCAAGCATAGCACATCCTTTACCCTGTGGAAGGCATCTGCTGCTTCCCTGGTACACCATACCTTTTTTGGAGCTGCTGCCTTGCTTAGCTCTATCAGGGGGGCCATGAGCTCTGAGAACATGGGCACCAGTCAGCAGTAGTAGCTTACCAGGCCCAAAAACGACCACACCTATCTCTTTGTATGTGGCAGAGGGTAGTCCTTTAAGGCTTGCCTTGTTCACAAGGGGTTTGATTTGCCCCCTTTGTACCAGGAAACCAAAATACCTTCTTTCTCTTTGGCCCAGGACACACTTCTTTGGATTGCTGTCAATCCTGCCTTCCTGAATTCATTCAAGGCAGCTTGGAGGGCCCTTAGGTGCTCCTCCCACTCCTATGTGAAGATTAGCACATTATCATTGTAGGCTGCTGCATACTTGTGGTGAGAGGGTTGGACCTGGTCCATTAATCTTTGGAAGGTAGCTGCTGCTCTGTGTAGTCCGAAAGGCATCTGTGCAAATTCATACAAGCCACAGGGGGTGGCAAAGGCCATCTTCTATTGAGACTAGCATTCCAGGGGAATTTGCCCTCTCTTCAAGAGATCTAGGTTGGAGGCGAGTTGGGCTCCTCCAATCCTCTCCAACAGGTCTTCAATCTGGGACATGGGGTAGGCATCAAACTTTGCGATCTCGTTGACCCTATAGACATTTATGCAGAGCCATAGTTTTACATCTTTTCTTCAGAACCATCATGATGGGGCTCCACCATTCACTTCATGACTTCTGAATGATGCCTTAGGCAAGCACCTGGCCCACCTCCTTCACCAGTGTCCATAGTCTCTGGGAGAATGCGTCTCCAACATTCTCTCACCACCTTGTTGGGGCTTGTCTCTATTCTATGTTCAATCAGAGAGTGAACCTGGTTCCTCCATGAAGACCTTCAGGAACTCCTGCACCAGTTGCTCTAGTTCAGTCCACTGAGTCTCAGATAGGTCCTCCCCCAGGACCATCAACATGGCACTCTTTTTTCCCCTACCTGAGGCCCAACTCTTGTGGATCTTGGTAAGATGCCACAAATAAGGCCTCCCTCTCTCTCTAGTTCTTCAACATGTTAATGTGTTATATCAGATGTGTCTTTCTTCTGCCAGGCTGCCACACTTCATAGTCCACCAGCCCTATCTTCCAGATGACCTCATATAGCCCCTGTCATCAGGCATTAACTTGGACACCTGTTCCAATAGTAAAACTAGTACCTGATCCCTGATCTTGAGATGGTGTTCCTGCGCTGGACAATTGTATGCCACAGCTTGCTTGCCGTGCACAGCTCACCACTTTTCTCTGGCAGCCACTTGCACTGCCTCAAGTTGCTCCTGAACTCGCAACACATGGCTGACATGGTTTCTGACTGATCCTTCCTGCACCTCCCAGCCCTCTTTGAAGAGGTCTAATGCTCCTTGTGGTTAGTGCCCATATAACAGTTCAAAGGGGGAGAATCCTGTCAATTCTTGGGGTGCTTCATGATACATGAACATCAGAGGGGCCAACATCCTATCCTAGTATCATAGGGAAGGATCCTAGATTTTCTTAACATGGGCTCCAAGGTTTGGTTGAACCGCTCTACTAATCCATCCATTTCAGGGTGGTAAACAAGGGTTCACAGCCGCTTAATGCACACCATTTTGCAGATCTCAGGGAATACCGTCGACATGAAGTAGCTGCCCTGATCTGTCAATGTTTCCTTTGGCAGGCCCACTTGCGTGAATATTTTAAGTAGTTCCTCCACAGCTTTCACCATATTAATACATCTGAGGAGTATTGCCTCTGGGTACTTTGTGAAGTAATCCACTACCACCAGGATGTATTGATACCCAGCTGTGCTCTTGATGACAGGCCCCGACAATGTCCACCACCACCCTCTCAAAGGGCTCTTTCTATTAGTGACAATGGCACCCGAAGGGTTTTCAGGGGCCACCCCAGACCTGCTAACTATTCATAGATTTATAAATTTCATAGACATTAGGGCTAGAAGGGACCTCGGAAGATCATCAAGTCCAGCCCCTGCCCCAGGGGCAGAAAGTCAGCTGGGGTCAAAGGATCACAGCAAAATAAACATTCAAATGTTTCTTAAAGGAGTCCAGAGTAGGTGCTTGCACTACCTCTGGAGGCAGTCTATTCCAGGCCTTGGGGGCTCAGATAGTGTAACAGGGGACCTACTAGGGCCAATCGCTGCGTGGCCCACCCACCTTCTCACCCACCAAGCCTTGGTCTTAATTGATTAGTTAATGGATGCAATTAGGTGGGAGGCTGCCCATTTTCTGCCCCGCTGCTAGGGGGCGCTATCTGTGGCTCCATTCCTCCCCTACACTGCAGCCCAAGCCTCGCTGATGACAGTGTTCTCATACGTGCCAGTCCCCCATGATGGGGCCCAGAATCCTGCTGTAGGACCCCACCTGGGTTCCTCTCTTCAGAGAGACTCTGCTGCTGTCATACTGGGCCACATATCTCCCTGCCACCAGTTCCCCTTCAGGTGTGGTCCCTGCACTGGGACCTTCGGCTCACACTAGCCCCGGCCCACCTCCAGGCCAGTCAGGACCCCAGGCCCCTGGCTCTTGGGCATCCCTCTCGGTGGGCCTCCTTGCCCTTCTGACCCTCCTGGTCCTGGCCCCCGCCTGGGCCAGTGAGGGGAAGCTCTGGCAGGCCTTGATGTATTACCCATACTCTTTTCCCGGGGTCCCCCTCTCTGGGTCCTCCTCCACAGATGTGGGAAGCTGGAGTTACCTCACACCACAACCAAGGCCTCAGGGTCTCACAGGGGACTCTCACTCCCCTCCATGGGCAGCAGCTCATGGTGCTACTACTGGTGTAGTATTCGACCCAAACTCTGCCTCCCCACATTGGAAGACTTACTGGGGTCAGGACTCAGCTCTCTCTCTGGCTGAGACCCTTCTCAGGGCTCCACACGCTGCCCCCCCCTCACACTAGGGGCTTAGGTGGCCATAGCCGTGCCTGGCCCCAACTCTCCTCCTTGAGGTTTCAAACCCTGACAGGGCTCAGGCAGCCTTGGCCACACCCGGCCTCCAACTCTCCTCCTCGAGGTCTCAAACCCCCACAACTGCCTCCAGCATACATGACCCACCCAAAGGTGAGGGCTAGGGGTTAAGGCCCCCCAACCCATCTTTCACCAGGGTGCTCACTGGCCTGGCATTTCCTGGGGGCT